CGGGTCTTGAAGCTATCACTAGATGAAGGCTCTAGAAGCAGTGCTGAACAGTGTGCAATCATCACATTTCTTGTCAATAGTTTTAACTCTGTGGTAGGTTCTCTGAATCTTTCAATGAATGTTTTAAATTTTTTTTATAAGAGATACAGAATTTTTTTATTGTAGGAAATCGATATTGTTCGAGAACAGATGAATAAGCTTACGCATATGTCAATCTGGATGAATTTATTACCAAGCCAAAGAGATGACATGTTTGGAGGCAGCAAGGTTACATTCATTTGATCTTTTTTTTTATCCCTGGTTTGATTTTCAGTTTATTATTTCTAGCAAATAAATTTCCTCTGGTTTTGCAGAAGCTACGGAAGTACTGGATGCACCTTTCTCAAAAGCTTGCTGCCCAAGACGCAGAGGATACAGAAGAATCACGAAAAGCGCAGTTTGAACGAAACTACTTATGGAACCTGATTGCTCGTTTTAAGCGCACTCTCGATCGAGTGGACGATGAATCGAAAGGTAAGCCTATTCAAAAGTTTCTGTAATGTGCTTTCTTTCAAAAAGCTTTTGCCCTTCTAGAAGTTGATTTGGAAGACATCCGATATTGTGAGAGGTTCATTGAACTAGTAATTGATCTTGAAGCTCTTCTTCCTACAAGGTATGTATATTGTACTACTATACCTATCCTTATCTTTCGTCTATTTTTTAAGGAGATTTTTCAATGCACTATTGCATTCTTCGAAGCTCATAACCCATTGTGTGCTCTCAAAACTGATCTCATCTGAAGCTGGGTCTTTATTTTGTCAACTGGTTGAAATGCTTAAATTTTACGCAAGATTTGAGATAAACGACATAACGGGCCAGCAGCTCACCAATAAGGAAGTAAGTGTTGATGATTTGTACACGGCGAGCTTTAAGAATTTTAGATCCATTCAAAATTTCACTTCTTTCAGGTTTCTGATCGACATTATGAGCATATGGTGCAGCTACAGAAGGCAGCGTTTAAGTATTTCAGGTCCTCTTTCTATCCTTCTAGCATTCGGCTTTTATCCCTCATCCTAATTATTTTCTTTTCTTTAGAGAAAGCATGCCCGATTTCTATCTT